GGAATCAGATACTCCAATCCATTTTGATGACTTTTGGCTTGTGGAAGAGGCTTCTGTTGGTTTCTATGACCTTTACTATATTGCTGTTGGGGTTAGTCACTGGGCTGTCTCAGTGATAAATTGGCTAAATATAATAATTAGATATATTCCCAGAATGGAGTATATAGTAAATAGCTCACATGGGCCCTAGGGAAGGTGGCTGACCCTCAGAGCATCCTTTGTGCCAAGGAGCAAAAAGGAACATAACTCTTGTGCTGGGTAAACATTTTGCTTTTCATTTGTTTCCTATGTATAACTTTAATTTTTTTTAAAAAAATCTACACTAATATTACATATGCATCCAAACTTTGCATTAATTTTTCCTCTGACATAGGGATCGTCTGATAAGGATCCTATGGGATAATATATCAAGTTAACAGAATATTTTGAAACATATTCTAATTCAATACCATTAATTACTGAAACTATTACGATTTAGTACCATGATTAATGAATTGGAAGTAATAATATAATAGAAACAGGTGACAATTACCTGTTCCCATGCTCTGTAACTGGTTACTCTTTTGCATTATTGCCACCTTTTGATCTAATACTTCACAGGTCTGGATGTTGAAGAGCCCTTTGTTTTCCCTCCTGATAGCATGTTGGAATTTGAAAGAACAGTGGGCCTTTTGGTTCATTGCATTCCATGGGACCCTTCCAACTCCAGCTCATTAGAAACACCCCCGAGTTCGAGGACTAACTATGATGTCATATGTCATAGCAATGAAGTAATTGGGGCAGGCCAAGGCAAAGAACAATTTTATATTTGCTGCTTTGAGAATTGTCTCATATTGTTTCGAATGTAACTCCTACCTTTCAAGTAAGAATTGTTACATGCAAATTTCCCAGGGGCAAAAGAACAAGAGGAAATTTGTTGAATGGGGTCAGCCAGAAAGACTTCAGGGGAAACTTATATCAATGACCTTCCTATCTTGCTTTGGCTCAGTTTTTCTGTCCCTTTCAGGTATGTTTACTATTATAATTGTGCTCTGGAAATATGTGACTGAGAAAGCTGTAAGGACTTCTGTGGGAAACTCTACGATCCCACTAGTTGAAAGGAATAAATCATCACAGTATTTATATTGATACAACAACATACAGTCTTGGAGAGAAAACTGCTGACCTGGAATAGACATACTTCTATACATTTATATAAAATATAATTTTACATATTAAATAATAAAATTAATTAAAAATAATAAAATATAATTATATATATTAAATAATATTTTTATTTATTCTAAATAATATTTTCCTATATTCTAATTTTTGAGGCCAGGAAGTTAAGCAACTTTTTACTCACAATTTTCCTTTATTTTGTGATACACTTTTTAGTGAATCTGAAATCAATGACTGTCATTATCTATAAACAACTAATTTTAGATACAGTCCTTTATATCATGGTAGCTTCCAAACAGTGATGTTGGCCAGTGTTTTTCAAACTGTCATGATGATACTTTTTTCTAGCCCTGTACAGAATACAGGAGACCCTCTCTTCTCTGACCACAGTCTAAATGCTACAGACAAATGGCATTTAAAAAAGTAAAGAAAGTTTTAACATCTGGTAGGGAGAATACCAACAAAAGTTTTTCTTCTTTATCTCCTTTTTTTCTTAAATTTAATTTTTTGTTAAATCATAACTGTACTTAGTTACAGGGTATAATGTGATGATTTGATATATGATGTGGAATGCTTAAATCATACTGATTTATTATTATTATTTTATTGTTTGGGATTCATTGAGGGTACAAAGAATTAGGTTGTGCTTATGGCATTTGTTAGATAAAGTCCCTCTTAAAATTATGTCCTGGCCCCAAGAGGTGTGCCATACACTGGGAGTCCCCATCCTCCTCCCACCTCCCCTCTCTCCATTTGCTTATTCCCCTACCCCACTTTTATTAGCTCATCTACTGCCTTCATATTAGAATAGAGTACATTGAATTCTTACTTCTCCATTCTTGTGGTGCTTTACTAAGAAGAATGTGTTCCACCTCCATCCAAATTAACACAAAAGATGGAAAGTCTTCATCTTTCTTAGTGGCTGAAGTATATTCCATGGTATATATATACCACAGCTTATTAATCCATTCCTTGGTTGGTGGCCATTTAGGCTGTTTCCACATTTTGGTAATTATAAATTGAGCTGTGGTAAACTGTCTAATGTAAATGTCCTTATGATAAAAGGATTCTTTTTCTTCTCAGTAGATGCCTAGTAATGGGATTGCAGGATCAAATGAGAGGGAGGTCTAGTTTGAGTTCTTTGAGGAGTCTCTATACTTCCTTCCAAAAAGGTTGTATTAGTTTGCAGTCCCACCAGCAATCTAAAAGTGTTCCCTTCTTTCCACATCCATGCCAGCATCTGTAACTTTGAGACTTTGTGAAGTGGGCCATTCACACTGGAGTTAGGTGATATCTCAGGGTGATTTTGACTTGCATTTCTCTGATAATTAGGGACAATGAGCATTTTTTCATATGATTGTTAGCTGTTCGTCTGTCTTCTTTAGAGAAGGCTCTATTCATGTCTCTTGCCCACTGATATATGGGCTTGTTGGGTCTTTATTTGTTGATTAATTTGAGTTCTCTGTACATCATAGTTATCCAACTTTTGTCTGATTCATAATATGCAAATATCTTTTCACATTCTGAAGGTCGTCTGTTTGTTTGGTTGTTGTTTCCTTAGCTGAACAGCAGCTTTTCAGTTTAATTAAGTCCCATTTGTTTATTTTTGTTGTTGTCACAATTACCATGAAGTCTTCTTCATAAAACTTTCCCTCAGACTTATATCTTCAAGTGTCTTCCCCACACTTTCTTCAAGGATTTTTATTGTTTTATTGTTTAATCTTTTATCCATCCTGAATCAATTTTTGTAAGTAGTGAAAGGTATGGGTCCAATTTCAGTCTTTTACATGTGGTTATCCATTTCTCTCAGTGCCATTTCTTGAATAGGGATTCTTTTCCCCAATGTATGTTCTTATTTGGTTTATCAAAGATCAGGTGGTTGTAAGAGGTTAGTTCATCTCATCGTTTTCTGTTCAGTTCCAAATGTCAATGTCTCCATTTTTGTTCCAATATCATACTGTTTTGATCACTATGGCCTTGTAATATAGCCAAAAACCTGGTAGGGTGATACCCCTGGCTTTGTTTTTATTATTAAGAATTGCCTTGGCTATATGGGGTTTATTATAGTTCCATACAAAATGAAAAGTTATTTTTTCCAAATCTTGAAAGTATGATGATGATTCAATGGGGTTTGTATTAAATCTGTAAATTGCTTTGGGGAGTATAGACATGTTCACAATGTTGATTCTTCCCAGCCGTGAGCATAGTCTGTTCTTCCATTTGTTAATATCTTCTGCTGTTTCTTTTCTTAAGCTTTCATAATTTTCTTTGGAGAGGTTCTTCACCTCTTTTGTTATGTATATTCCTAGGTATTTCATTTTTCTTTTGAAGCTATGGTGAAGGGAATTATGTTCTTGAATTATGTCTCGGCTTGGCTATTATTGGCATATACAAAGGCTACAGATTTGTGGACATTGATTTTATAGCCTGAGTCATTACTATATTGCTCGATCACTTCTAGGAGTCTTATGGTTGAGTCTTTGGGGTTCTGTGAATATAAGGTCATATAGTCAGCAAAGAGTGACAGTTTGACCTCCTCTCCTCCCATTTGGATGCTTTGTATTTCCATCTCTTGCCTGATCATATTGGCTAGAACTTCCAGCACTATGTTCAACAGTAGTGGAGATAGAGAACAACCTTGTCTGGTTCTAGTTGTAAGTGGATAAGCTTTCAGTTTTACTCCATTCAGTATAATATTATCCATGGGTTTGTTGTAGATGGCTTTGATTAGATTAAGAAATGTGCCACCCCTCATTTTCTTTTTCTTTTTTGAGACAGAGTCTCAAGCTGTTGTCTTGGGTAGAGTGCTGTGGCATCATAGCTTGGGTAGAGTGCTGTGGCATCATAGCAACCTCCAACTTAGGCTCAAGTGAACCTCTTGCCTCCATTTTTTTTTTTTTTTAATTTTTAGTAGAGATGAGGGTCTTGCTTTTTTGCTAAGGCTGGTCACAAACTCATGAGCTCAAGCAATCTTACTTGCCTTGAACTCTAAGAGTGCTAGGATTACAAGTGTGAGCCACTGCGCCTGGCCTATTAAATTCTTGAGTGTTCTAATTAGAAAAGGATGCTAAATTATCAAATGCTTTTTCTGCATCTACTGAGATGATCATATGGTCTTTGTTTTTGTTTCTGTTAATATGGTGAATTATGTTTATGGACTTCCATATGTTTTTTCTAATTCTTTATTAAATCATAACTGTGTACATTAATACATTTATAAGGTACAATGTGCTGATTGGATATACAATGTAGAATACTTACATCTAACTAGTTAACATAACTGTAACTGTCTCTTTGCTTGCCTACTTATTTGTTATGGCAAAAACATTCATACTTTATTCTTAATAGTATGGAAATGTATCATTGCATTATGCACATTAGGTTGGACTTGCATGTGTTAAACCAGGCTTGCAGCCCTGGGATGAAACCTACTTGATCGTGATGAATGATTTTTTTAATGTGTAGCTATAGTCTATTGGCTAGTATTTTATCAAAATTTTTTGCACATATATTCATTAGTGAAATTGGTCTGAAATTCTCCATTTCAGTTGGGTCTTTTCCTGGTTTTGGTATCAGGGTGATGTTTGCTTCATAGAATGTGTTGGGGAAGATTCCTTCCTTCTCAAGTTTTTGAAATAATTTCTGCAGTATGGTGGCTATAAGCTCTTCTTTGAAGGTTTGATAGAATTCTGGTATGAAGCCATCTGGACCAGAGGGGGATTTTTTGTTGTTGGGAGAGTTTTTATTGTTTCTTCAATCTCAGTTCTTGAAATTTGCCTGTTTCTCCTTGAATAAGTCTAGGGAGAGGGTGTGGTCCCAGGTATTGACCCACTTCCTCCACAAAAAGACAATACAGAGAAGATTAGCATGTCAATCTTGTGCAGAGGCCATGCTAATCTTCTCTGTATTGTTCCAATTTTAGTATATGTGCTGCCAAAGTGAGCATAAATCAAACTGATTAACATAACTATCACCTCACTTACTTACTTTTTTGTGGTAAGACATTTATAATTTACTCTTAGTTGTTTTGAAATGTACCCTTGCATTGTGCACATTAATCTCCTTTTTAACACTCTTCTTAGAGTGTTTGTGAAGAGATGATTTGTAAACCAGTGTTTGCTGCTGTTATTGTTTCTTAGAATGCTGCTATGGTTTTCACCATATTTCCTGCAGGATAGGTGACCCACAGAATCTTCAGAACCCTCCAAATACTATAATGTTATTTACTATTATAAATACATGCTACATAAAAATAAAAAAACTATACATTGGGAATTAATGAAAAAGACAGGTATGTTTATGCAGCACATGGATATACAGTGGAGGTAACACTTCCATTCTCAGTCATCTAGTTTCCAAATGTTGGAGTAAACTGTGACTCTTTCCTTTTTCTTACATACATTCTCAAACAACTGGTATTTCCTTCATAAAATTAGTGTATTCATCTAATTTTGCTATAGGGAAATCATATAACACTAGATAACAAACACCCCTAGATTTTCAGAGGCTTCCATTAACAAGCATTGCCAACATACATAGATTGTATGCTGTTCATAGATTTGGGATGGATTAGAGATATAAACAAAAGTGGAGTAAAGCAAAACTGGCATTTCATTCAAGAGTTTATGATGCTAAAGAAGAAATTCAAAATCATCATTACAAGAAAAAAAAAATCAGACCATGATCATTTGTTGTGCCATCTTAGTGATGTTTATTTCTTTGTAAGTCCCTGACAATGATTCAGGAAAAACTATTTCCTTTTATGCTGTTGTGCACTAAACACTAGGAATAGCTCCCAACATAAATCTCATCTAAAACAAAACTCAGC